TCAGAAAACCTAAAGGAAATCTGACAGATCACCCCAGCATTGGATGAAAGGCAGATTTTTTTCAGAAACCAACAGGGATTTTCAACTACTGCTTGGGCTGACTCAGGTCATGGATATAATGTGCATGTATACACAAGCTTGCAGCATAATGCCCGTAATGTTCACTGCTGGAAAGCAGCCCAAAAGCAGGAGGAAATGCAGCTTCAGTATAAAGCTTTTTTAGAAGTGGTTCCTACAACATTTGAGAGAGGCAAAGCCAGTACATTTTGTGGTGTAATTACCAAAGTTGAAAGTTTTAACATGATTCACAAAAATTAACAAGACATGCTATTAGCAGAAGTATTTACGTAACCAAAATAGTTTTCCTTTTCCAGAACTGGAATGTTTATCTGTATTTAAAGAAAGGCCATATAACTTGACAAAAAGCAAAAGTATGAACACTAAATCACCGGGTTGTTTGTTAAGCATTTAGAAACATTTAGATCCCCATGACTGCTATTTAGTCATAGACATATATATATGTTGGAACTTTTTAACACACCCTTGTAGAAGGCCCTTGCTGAATAAAGAGAAGCATCCAGGAACACACCTTTGCATCCTGGATAACCTGAGCTCACCCAGCCATCACTGCAAATGTTTTTTAAAAAAGCCACCTGCATGGATGACACACATGCCCTGAGGCACAGCAGGAGGATCTTCTCTCCCACCGCTGAGCTGTGTTATGAATAAGCAAAAGGAAAAGCTGTACCAAACTGATCTCTGCAGCTAGTTTGTGCAATGTTGCAGTATCAATTAATCCCTCATATAATCCACATTTTACTAGATGGCAGAGGAAGAGACAGAAGGTGACAGTAAAAGCTGCTAACTGAACATCAAATCATACAGTGTATTAAGTGAACAAAAGAAACTGGGATCTGTAAGGAGAGTAACCTCCACCGGCATTCACAGTGGCATTTTGTATGGTGGGTTGAGTAAGTCTTGGGCACTGCTACCAGTGACAACATTTTCTTCAAAGTTGATAAGCCTGTAAAAAGTAGTGGGTTTTGCCTTTTTTTTAAAAAAAATGCAAATAGTTTTAATATTCTGCTACCCAGATACTGACTGGAGAGAGAATTACCATTCTGCTGCTTTTCATATACCATGGCAATTTTACTAATTAAAACCTACAAAGCAAGAGATGACATCCTATGGAGGCATACAACAAACACTTTCTCCAATGAATTACAGTAGAAAATAAAGTCATTCATGCTGTTCTACTGCCTGGCAAGCTACCTTCACTTAAGCAAATCATTAAGTCTTCCCAACAAAACAATCAGTCTGGTGACAAGTTTACGCCAATAACTAAAGAGTCGAGGTTATTTTGACAAATCCATAATGGAGACAGCTCACTGTGTGCAAGGCTAGGTAATGAAGAGTTCCAGATTCTGCCATTTGATGTAAGCACATGAACCACATTTGCTGGACAGCAACTAAAAGCCACCAGCAGGCTTTTGTGCTCAGTGAGCCCATTCACTGCAGATGTGATCACATACAATCCAAGCTGACATGAAGAAAAAAAAAAAAAAGACTACAGCCTAAGAGCTGTGGTCCAGAGAGTTGGTCTGATGCTATGAGTACAACTAAGCTGATGAAGAGATTTTGTTTCTGGCTACTGCTGTTCTCCATCTGTGATGGATCTCCCAGGCTAAATACACATATGGTTGTTTCCTTACCGAGTTCTGTCAAGCGATACTGGTTATAGCCAGACACACAGATATGCAAATAAAGCTGCTGGCAGCAGCTCTGAATGGCATTACTCTCAATCCAGACCACTTGTTCCTAGTTTTGCCAGTCTAAACTCCTTGAAACTTAATTGTGCTCCAATATAGATCTGAGCAGTGACCGACACTAGAAAAAAAAAAAAAAAAAAGCCTTGCTTCCCTTCCATGATGGTTATTAAGGAGGATTTTTACAAGTTTATTAGTGAATAATGAGAAAAGTTGTACCTAATCCAGGCAGAAGCAGATATATGGGGACATGAAAAAGGTACCCAATATTTCCTTGTGCAGCAAGTGTCAGCTTGTGTCAGAATTGTGCCTTTAACTACCACATAAGACCTTTTACTTCAAATCACTCCAGTGGAGAGAGCTGTACATCCACTGACACAACAGGGAGATAACCCAGAACTTAGCCACTCAGAGAAGCACAGCTGAATACAACTATAAACACACCAGAGAGGACTCCTGCTCATGAGCAGTACCCATCTCTCTCAAGATGAGTACTGCTTCAAAGACACCAACAAACAAGTTCACCTACCCACACCTTGGTTCAGTAGCACAAGAGTTTACCATAGGACGCAGAACATAGGAACCGTCTTCCAGTTATTCTGAGTTCAAGGACTTCCTGAGCCAGATGGGGTTTCTGTGTATTCACTAACTCACAATGAACTTCCTGCCCTTGAATTTATCCAGTTTGTTTGAACCTGCATCAGTTGTCAGCTTTCACATAATTATTTTTTTTTTTACTACAAGTCCCACTGAGTAAGAAGCTCCTCTTTCCACTTAGCTATTCAAAAATTTTGATAAAAAGGAACAAAGTTTAGGTGTGTACCTACAATTATGGCTTTTGGTAGAAACTTCTGAGGTTTTAAAGTGATCAAAATGGCATTGGAACAGAATAAATACAAGAAGATCCTACTTTGTTTTAAAAACTGTAAATCCCATAGCAGTAACTTCCATGTTTGTGTATGGTGGAAGTTTCTGTAGAACATTTTTAGCAGTTCACAAGTATCACAGTTATTCATTGCTTTCGACATACATATAGCAACTAACACACCTATTTATTTTTCCAGGATTAGATAGGAAAGAAACTCCTCCCTCCCATGAATCCTATAGCTCTTTTTCTCAAAAGCCAAGGCCCAGGCAGAGATTGAGACCACTGATTTGCTGTCAGAACACATTGCCAGATATAATTACAAGCTGAACAGAGATATCAAAGACTGACAGATCCCGAATAACTTGCTCTTCCTCCTTTTTGTTAGGAGATCACTAAAGCTATTTTAATAGCATAGAAGGCATCTAATTCTTTATGACATTGGGTTTCATCACCAAAGCTGTAAGTGCATTACGATGAGTCTGAGAACTTCAGGGATTTCTGATAGACACTGAAGACAAAGGCAATGCCTCTCTCCTCCCCCCATCTAGGTTGATTACTCTGTGGGGAACGGAACTGAGCAACTTGACCTTGCAAAACAGAAGTGGCAGAACCTTTTGGCAGCAGGTCAAAGAAACTTTCCTTATTTCCATTAAGTATTCACTAGTTAGATTTATGAACCATTGTCTGATCATTAGCCACCAGCTCTGTATTGCTTTTCCATGTACATGCATTTAAATGTACCACTTAGTACAGAGGATACCCCATTCTTTCCTGCTGCACATACTTAACATTTTTTTGAACTAAATTTCAGAACCAGAAAACTCCATTAAAGAGAGTTCCAATTGCTATGTGCAAGGGACCTAATTACTTGTCACATCCTTTAAAAAGCACAGGAACCTGCTTTAAAAGCAATAAAGCCTAATTTTTCAGACAAGAACAGCTACAAAGGATCACTACCTTCTATTGGAGAATTTGCAGTTTGTCTGTAGATCAAATATTTATTCTGGATAGGAAAGCAATATCCAAACACAAGAGTTCACAACACAGAAAGAAGCCAAGTTGACTCTAAAAATTTTACCTTTTTTTTTTCAAAAGGGAGGTACTTGTAATTGGCACAGAAGCTACATAGGCATAGTTTCCTAAGAATAACTGTCACACAAGAACATAAAAAGTATATTTTGGGACTCGGGATTGATCAGTCTGCAACCAACGTATATGCCCACAGTCCATGCAGTTAGTGATGGGACTTATGGAGAAACTTGGTTTATATTGCCAGTGCAAGTTTGGAATTTTATTTTTCTTGATCTTACATTAGAGGCTGAGTTTACTAACATATTATCATAACCATAAGACAGTCATTGAAGCGTTATAGAAATTTAGTCATGAGTGAAGAAAACATTTTAACAAAAAACAAACAAACAAACAAAACAAAAAAAAACCCAACCCAAACACAACAGGCAGCTCACAGACATACTGGTTTAAAGTAATAAGAAAGCTTTTGTTATCGTATAGGTACTGAAGAGTCCATATTGCTCAACAACTTCAGAAGTACTTCTTTGGACTCTTCTCCAGAGATAAAGCACACTGGTCAGAATCTACTAGAACATTCGAGCCCTTTAGCAGGTTTGCTGACAGATGAGGAATGGTTTATGGCTTACAGGGAACATGGCTTATTCCAAGACATCAGGACTGCAGACAGCAAATAGTTCCAAGACTTTTTGTTCTTTAGAAGATAGGCAATATATCCAGAAGAGCCAAAAACCTCTTCATGAGAGGCATTTATGAGGTCAGGAAGAATATATGCCTTTAGGTGCTTTACATATGCATTCAGTATATATGCTTCCATGCAGTACTTGACAAGTAAACACAGTTTTCACCATAAAGGTCAAAAGTTACTTTATTACAAAAACAAAGAGGCAGAATATCAGAAATTGTTAGGGAGGGCAGACTCCAGTCCACCCATTCTAAAGAGGGGCCAAGGACTTCATAGGCATGGGAAGGAGTATTGTACACACTAATTCCCACTGAGGGTACAACAATGTAAACTAAAAAGTTTAAGAGGCATTTTTACATGGGGGAAAAAAAAAATCCACAAACCAAACCAAAATATAAACACCCAAAAAAAATCCCACTGTAACTGTGTGACTCTGGGGTTTGGTTTAAAAAAAAAAAAAAATCACTATCTGAAATACTCTAAAACTTGAGAAATCCCTAGATATCCTGAAATTGTTTCCCTGAACAAGATACCGAACAAGCTGTTCTTGGTAGCACAAGCCTTGAGCACAGCAGACAATGTTCTTTTGTGAGCTTTGTGCATTTGCTGCAAAAAAAAGACTTCTTTGCTCCCGCGTGGTTTCTCCTCTGCTTTACCTGGGGTAGTACGCCGTGTAGTTCATGAAGAGCTGAGCCCCAGCAGGGTAGTACGCCGTGGAGGGCTGGAGTGTGCGTGGGTTCAGGAGCATGGATGGCTGATACAGAGCAGCTTCTGTTGGCACAACTGCAGCAGGAGCCGGAAAGGAGTAAGAAGGGGGTGAAAGGCCTAAAGGGAACATATGGAAAAATAGATTAGGACCTTTTGAATTCCAGCATATATATGGTCTTCATTAATCAAACAACACTGAAGTAAAGAGCCTCCACGAGCTTTTCTCTTGCTCATCAGAGAAAATAAACCTGAGACACCAACACAGGCTTGACTACAAGTGTTGTGCCCACCCTCCAAGTCAAAAGCAAAGTCAGTCATACACAAAAACCACCACTCTGGGAACAGGATCTCTTTTTAAAGAGAACAGTTTTTCTTGTCTAGGCTCAGTTTTTGAGTCTTCAATCAAGAAGTGTGAGGCTTCTCTCTAAGAAGGAAACTCCCGTCCTAAAGATCTGCCTAACATTCCCCAGAGCAGAGGACACTTTTTCATCCCGACACTCCCTATTCCTGAAACAGCGCTGCCTTCAACTAACTAACGAGCAGCACGAGAAAAGTCACTGCTTTGCAGCTTCAAGTGTTAACACTGAGTTTTGGGGTTTTTTCTTTTGTTTAAAAAAAAGTGCATTTTGTGGTGTTTCAACAAGATTTGAGGCCCTAAATGAATTCTCACCAATGAGAGTCCACTCTCCCCCCTTTGCCATGCTTTTTTTTTCCCTCCCTAGTGCCATAAAAATGAATATATAAAAGCTTTAGACAACTCTAAATAGCAAAAATAGAGTGTTACTTTAATGTGAGAATCAGCCTCTCACTGCTTTGTGGGCTGGGCCAGCAACAGAGCTGAAAGGGCTTATCTGAGGAATACATTCCTGGCACTTGTAGTTGGAAATAACACAAGTACCTAAGAGCTCACAAACTCTGGGAAGGTCTCAGGAGAAGCTTGCAGCCCCTTTCTGGAAGAGCTGTCACACACAGCATTATGTACAGCAGATCCCTCTTCAAAGCAAGTATCCTTCTGAGGCAGGGAAGTTAAAAAGGCACAAAAAAGCACTAGCCACCTGGAAAACTTCTCCTAAGGGTTAGCTGAAGGCCTACTCACACTCAGAAGGAACCACACCCAAGAAGTTTGGTGCTATGTTGGCAGCTTTGACTAGAATTCTAGAATTTAGAGGACACTTCTTAAAGCCACCGACAATAATACATTTGCATAGACAGAGAGAAAGCTCTGACTTGTCAACCTTGCCATTTATGATTTTGGAAGCAAAGTATTATTTTTCCCATAGGCTTAGATTTATATGGCACATATGCTTAGTAAGGTAGCCTTTAGGCTCTTAAAGCATTTCCCCAAAACTTTTGCCTAGAAGTTCACATTCATTCTAGCAGCTCTGAGAACCATAATTTTGCATGAAACGCAGTTTTGGCAATTCTGAGGGCAAAGCTACGTGTATTTTACTCCCACAAAGGCAAATTCAATTTTGGACAAACAACAAAAAGCAGAGAATGAGCTCAGTAAGTGTGGGTTCAATAGGCAGAACACTTGTGGTTAAGTCTCAAAGGAGAGCATTACCAATAGTTTCATAAACTAAATTTTGGAAGTGAAAGGGGAAGGACTTCTACTTATTATGTTCAGCATGATGAAAAGTTAAAAAGTGGAAGCACAAATCAGTTTAAGTTGGAAATAGTTCTTTAAGGTCTGGGCAGGGCTTACAAATTACTTCAGAGTCATGGCTCATCCTGACCAAGCCAAGTTTTTCGGGGAAGGGAATTCTGCCCCTGGAAAAGCAAGAGCAATTGTAAACTAGTTCTTCATAGTAATTCACAACCAAAGGGAAAAATAATGATTGCAAGCTGCTGATGAATTAAGATGAAAGAGACCTTATTTTAATACCCCCATCTGAAACTCCTTTCAAAGAACCAGAATGAGAGTCAATGAAGCAGCTCCAACACCTACCCACACGCAGCGCAGAGTACTGGCAAGACTCATGCAAAACTTACATGGTAACTTACATGGTGGCGGGGACAAGCCATTTCGATTTAAAGTGCCCCCCATTAATACAAAGTTCATCTCCTCAGCAGAACATTGAAAGACTTCAACATATCTGTCCTTCATAGTCTTCTTGTGACATTTCTGTGCTGCCAGGTAAGCTCGGTCTGCAGATTTCATCTGAATAAAAGCATCTCCGGATGGACGCCCCTGCAAACAAGGCAGAACAAAAGGAATGTTTCTGGAACTCCTGTGAAGTAGCAGCATAGCAATAAGTTGTACTGTTAAAAGCAGTTTCGTCACCATAAATACATTAATCTCCAAAGTCAAGTACAGTCAGTTGACCAGAGCACCCAACAGTATGTTTAAGTTCTCCTCTCCAAAGTTCATTCCAGCTGTGCTAACTTGATTGTATCTATTTACCTGTTTCAATTAAGCCAGGTTGTAACTTCTGCCACTTTATTTCTATGTTTAAAAGGACACTTATGGGAGAGACTACAATTCAGGAATACTTAAGGGCTTTGAGACCTGCTCTTACCGATTTGGTAACAAGGTAGAACTGAAAGATCTAATCCACATTTATTATCTGTGATTTTTAATATTCAAGGGTAAATCAAGTGCCAAATTATTATTATTTTTTTTAAAAAAAACCCAACTTTAAAGCCAATATGGGCTGGGCTGTTTTAGAAGGGTACTAGCCTAAGGCTTGGTATGGACTTGTGGAGAGAGAGAGGGAAAAAAAAAACAACCCAAAACAAACAAGAAAACCACAACCAGTCAACCCCTTCCTTACGTAACAGCTGCAGATGAGTGGGACACACACTTGAGAGGAGACATTTTAGGCACATGCAGCTGCTAACTTGAAGTAGCCAAAACTAGAGGTAGATATCCGAGGCCATCTCTAACTTAAGTTCTGGGCCACTTCTGGTTTTGGAGAGAACAACTTTATCATTATCCTTTACACAGTTATTTGCAATTAGAGGGTTGAAACTAGGAATGGTGGGAGCACACAGAAAGATAAAAATCTAGTAGTCAGGCAAAAGCAGCTTTGGGCAGGGGTAATAGACAGCCTCAGGACTATATACACACACACCCCCACTCCCACCCCCACCCCAATTTCTTCCTCAAGGTTCTTGTGTTACTCCTGGCAAGAGTTGATACTACTGTAAAGCACATTACTTGTGCTTTAACATCTGCATCTTTTCTTAGCCTCTCCCTGCACATTTCTCATAGCTTTTTGGCCTTGGCTAGGTCAACTTCTCATAGACACAGGAATCTCATCAGATAAAGAGGTACTAGAATAACTATAGTCCCTTCTCCCACCTCACCCCCCCAAAATACAGAAACTCTACTCCAAGACAAGGAAGTATTTTATAGTTCTAGCTTAGATTTGATCAAAGAACCACTTTTATACCACAATAATCAGTGTAATCAATGCAATCACTCATGGCATCTCTGTAGATTTAGAGGAGCTGCCTTCTCCTTCCCCTGAGTCACAAGACTATGCAGATAAAGGAGAACACAACACTGCACAATCCTTTGTCTAAGCAGTTTTGATAGAAACTGCTTCCAGAAAACAATGGCAAAGACGTGACTATTTATACATGTCAAAGAGCTGTTAATCTTGGTGCTTAGCTGTGACTGTTTAAAGAAAGGAACTACACAGTTCAGGAAAACCAAAGTTTCAGTTGCTGATTTATGCCATCGGAAATCCTGTCACTTTGTCCTCGAATATACCTGAGGCACATTGTTCAGAAAGGCAGAGGCAAACCACTCCTCTGAGAGCTGACATTGCCCACACTTTTGTTTTGAAGATATTCCAGCCTAGTACAAGAGGAATTATGCATGCTGCTGAGAGGACTCTTCAGTTCAAGCCTCCTACAGTGCAGGATCACAGCTGCTGCTCTGGGAGCACCAACCCCTCTAAGACTGTAGCTTCACTTCAGACACGCAGGTCTCAGTAACAGAAAACACCTACAGCAAATGCAGCAGCTGGCATAGCAGGGTTCAAATGAGCCAACACATCTACTGCCAATACACTTTTAAAGGAGAGTTTGACACTAATGGCATTTATTGGCCATCTACTGCCAATACACTTTTAAAGGAGAGTTGGAGGCCAATAAATGCCATTAGTGTCAATCTCAAGGGTGCTTCCCTATTGATTTCAACATTAGGGTTGTGCTTGCACGTACAGGCAGCTGGCACAGCAGATAGAAACCAGCGCCTACCAACCTGGTGATTTAGTACCATGTGAACTCCATGGGTCCGAATATCTGTAGAAAACTCCCCCAAGAACTCCAGGATGTCCTCTATAGTAGCAGCATAGGGAAGACCACGCAGACGTATGCAGTCTCTGACGTTAGTGGGAGGCACAAATTGTTGAGGTAATACTGGAAGAATAGGAGGTGTTGGGAGAGGAATAAGAGGCGTGGAAGAGTACCTGTTCAGCACCTGTGCAAAGCAGAAAAACAGAAGTTACAGAAAGCCTCCTCACTCATTCTGAATGCAATACCAGTGCCATCTGTTTTCACTCTGGGCAGTATTTTAAGAAACTAGTGAGTTAGATTATGGGCTTAAACAGGTGTTTTAAAGTAAATCTTCAGATCATTTTTACTTGAAAAACATCATTTTGCTGTGGATAATTTACCTGACCTGTTACGCAACTCAGAAGACATCTTGAAATATGAAGCCTGTATTTCTACAGTATTTTTACTGGAAAATATCCCAAAGCATTCTACCACCTACAGAGTCATGGTGACATTTCTACCTAAAAATATCTACTCTGCAAAACATTAGGAGACTCAGGAAAGTAGAAGCATATTTCACTACCAAACAGCCCTGACTTGAGATGCAGTAGTCCATCAAGTTACACAGGTGGTGTTACTGAGTCGCAGGATGCGCAAGAGTTGCACTCTGAGACTTCTTGTTATTAACTTTAACAGTAAAAACTGCTCTTGGACAAAATTTCACCGAATATTCAAATTGTCACCCTTTAATTTTTTTCTGAGCAAGATTAGGATTTATTTACACTTATACAGTTACCATGTTTTTATTTAACAGAACAAAAATTCTGCTTAACAAAAACATGAGAGCACTTGAGAAAAATACAGTGACAAGAGAGTGCTGCAGCTATGCTTTCTCATTAGTGTCACCCTTCAAACAAGGCACTGAAATCTCTCCATATCTGGGGGGAAAAGCTGCGCCAGGGCCTGGTTACAGGGACATGGCTATTGGTTAGCCATATAATGGATGAGATCTTTTAAGAATCGTGTTTAGAAGTTCAAGTCCTCAACTGAAGCTCTACAAGTCTTTGGAGACATACATAAACAATCCCCTCAGGCCTACTCCCTTTCCCTGACAGCATAACTGCAATTAACAGTCCATCAAGCCACGTTAATGCAACAGGGGACACTCTTCAGGCCCACTTCCAAAGTCCTGGCACCCTCTGCTAGGTAGCCAGTGCTGGCAGAAGATGGCCAAGATCTGCCCTTAGAGGCAATTTGTAAGACTCCCCAGAATCATTGCTCTGAAGACATTAAAAGGCTCTGTTTTCCTGTGCCAGTGATTAAAGAGAAGTCTTTTAAATCAAGACCTGTAACTAATGTTCCTCCTAAATAGACCATCACTGGACTTGAATTCAGTATCTGTAGCATAGAGCTAGACCCACACAAACTTTCTGCTGTAGCTTCTGTTTGCAAAGCTATTGGAAGCTAAAACCCCAAAGGTGAGCAAGATCTTGCATTTAGAGGGGAAAAAAGCATCATGGAAATTCAGACACAACTACTCTTTCCAGCAAGAGTCAAGAGTGATAGAAAAGAAGCTTTCAAGTCATGGCTAAGCAGTATTTGCTTCCACTGCTGTATGCTAATGCAAGAGTTAGGATTGCAAGAAGACAACGTTTGTAAGCTTTCACCCTTTTTACTTCTGCTGCGGTACTCCTGAAGAGCTCAATGTACCTTTTCCCCAGCAAGTCCTTATGCTTTTTCAGAGCATTTTGTGCATATTCCTCACAAGCAAACAACACAAAGGCATCCCCTGTTGGCCTGCTGTCAGGGTACGTGACAAACAAGACTCCCTCCTTTCCTCCTGTTACAGGGCAGTGCTGGCCGAAGAATGTCAGCACTTCTTCTGTTGTTACATTGAATGGAAGACCTCGCATCCTGACAATCACTTGGTTTTCTTTTGACAAGAACTGTGCAACCTCATTGGAAGTGCCTTTAACAAAAAGAAGTACAGAAGCACTTAAGTCTAGGCAGCCACATAAAATTATGAGCAAGTCTGGCATAGTCACCTGCTCCTCACAGACAGCTTTTGAGCAGCAAGAACAATATTTGCTTTGAAAGTCAGGAAAAAAGCCCCTCTTTGATAAACTTGAAATACTCTATAGGACACTTCCCACTGAAGCTTGAAAATGTTGCTCCATCATTTAGAAGAGATCTCTTGTGTGAGCAGTGCCTGTGCTACTTACGAATGACCAACTTACGAATACCTTCAGCATGCTCTGAAGTCATAATATATGGTAACCAAGTACCTAGACCATTGTGCTGGGAAAGAAAGTTGGAAAGGCATGCTGAAAGCAACTCAGGAATTTCATCCTATCCTGGTAAAAATGTCAAAGTCTACCAAATCCAACTTTCAGTATCTCTAGAAGACCACTAACACTCATAACACTACCCTAACCAAAGCTGGCTGCTAACCATAGTCCTTTCAATTACAGCTAGCTTATTCTGCAAAGAAGTTTAGTTGTGCTAGACATAAACCGTTTTTCTCCTCAATGTCAGTGTGCAATGTCTTTAGGTTGAGTGGTAAAGCTATTACCAAGCCTAACAATTAGCTATTTATTTGACAGCTTAATAGCCTCTCCCACTTTAAAACCTCAGACATCCAGTTAGTCACCACAATCCCCAAAACAAATCTCTGTCAGGAATGAACAAGGACTGTAAGGTAGAATTGTAGAAACCTAACAGCTTATTGGATCTTAAATCTTGTATGCTTGCAGTCATAAAGGGGAGGAAAAGAGACCACAGGAGACTTTCTAGAGAAAGTTTTGTGGCCTTTCAATTTAAAGCTGCAAATATTTCAATAGTCCCCTTAAATAAGCATTCCCTCCAGATTTCCCCCTTTAGTTTGAGACGGAGTTGATTTGAGAAAATCAGTTTCATAAATCCCTTGTTATTTACACTGTGATATATCCATTTGCTTTTACGTGCAATCTCCACAGCAACAGCAGTTATATTATTTGGAAAAACTACTTTGATTTTGGTTTTTAGCAATCAATAACATTTAGGTCCCTTCAGTTAAGAAGATAATCTAGTAACTAAGTTCCCATGCAAGATCACCTTGCCTAATCAAATCCTTATTTGACAGGCTGCTTGAAAATTGCAAGAAAGTGGGAGAGAAAGATGGACAGATAAACTATGGAACATCTTGGACAGCTGCTAGCAGAGTACATAGTAATCAACACACCAGCCAACTACTTGTTCAAAGGAAGAAAGTGAAAGGCCACTTTCAACAGGAGCAGTTTACAGCCAGAAGTTACAGATGCTGATGGAACAAACCCTTCCTTCTTATCCACTAAAAATTACCTCCTGCAATTTTAAGGAAGTCTTCACCTGTTGCCTTGTATACCTAAGGAAAGAAAGGAGAACATATGACTGACAAGCTGTTTGCACTCCTGTTGAGAAGAGGTTTTCAAAGACAGTGTCACGCACCTCAATATATCGATTTCCCATGTGATGTTTGTGCCTTTGTAGAGCTAGATCTCTATGCTCTTCGCTGACGAACCTCACAAGAGCCTCCCCATTCCTCCTACCTTGAGCATTGAGACAGAGCGCAGCACCTCCCCTGCAAGATTTAAAGCAAAAGATGACATAAAACTCCATGACTGACACAGATGAAGCACTACAAAGACAGAGCTAAATTCTTAGCTACCAACTTGGCAATATTTAATCCTTTGAAGAATCTTGCTATGTCCTGGTCAGACGACTGCCATGGCAATCCTCTTGCTCGGATAACAGCGTTGTCATCTACAAGTTCCATCTTGCTGCTGCAGGCACAGAAAGAGGGAGCAATGTAGATACATCTGCCTGTAGTATCCGTCACACACCACCCTCCCTGCTTGTCACCCGTGCTCCAGGGACAGGTTTTTCTGTCCCTGCTCTCTGCTGATGGCACTGCCAGGGCAGTGAGGGCTAAGTGTCACCACCATCGAAAGCTGCTGCACATGTCTCTCCTCAGGGAACATCTGCTCTGTTAAGCTGCCCCTTTCCCAGCTACCCTTTCCTGCTTCCCCGTGTTTGCTTCTTGAGCTCTCATCTCTTTGATTACGTCCCCAGTTTACTCCCATCTCCTGACAAAGCAATAGCTTGCACTTCTCCATTGGCTGAACAGGGATACTGGTATAAAATTAAACCCTTGCCATCCTAATTCTAGCTAGGTGGAAATTGAAGCAGAGTAGTTAAACGTAACTGAGATTAGTGTTTATATAATTTGTATGGTGACAGTTAGTCACAAGCCAGAACAAAATCTGTTCAGGGTTATACTCAGCACACAGAGGACTCATGCCCAGAGTTTAGCCCTAAGTTCAGGCCATCACTGTGCTACTAGAAACTAATATAGCTACAGGCTACATTGGCTGCTTAGCATAGGAATAGCTCTGCCACAGAAAGCCAGGTTTAATTGGTCATTACCACAGCCTCTTTTGTTCTCTTACTTGTTAAAAAGTGCCAAGTACAACAAAAACGCTCACAGCTACCCAAGGCTGCCTTTCTGGCTACTGCAAGGACAGTTTTTTTACACAGAAGACACTACATGATTGATTAATCAGACAAAGTGTTGTTAAGCAGCAGAGGACTCCCTCATACAAAAGGGCAGTGGTATGCCTTGTTATAGGAGGGTCATGTTTCTTGCTCATATTTTAATTTCTCACATGGCCTTTTTGTAGGTGTCTGTCAAACTGTTCCCCCTTGCCTCCTAATTCTGTCCTTCTCATTACCACAAATAAAATGGGAATATTTCACCTCATCCCAGGATTTTGTTAGTGAGAGGGAAAAAGCCTAGAACAATGCTAAAACAGAACTCCTAATCTAATCTTGCCAGATACTTTCTGTCAATACTATTGCATTCTTCTTTTGGGTCAGAAACGCCAGCATCATCTACCATTATGACAGTTCCTTAGTTTGGAAAAGGGAAGTAAGTCTTTATGCAAGAGGCAAATATAAATAAGGTCAGTTTAACACCAGTCTCTTATGGTTCCCTCTTGCAGAGGGAATATTCATCAAATCACTGAGAAAAATGTGTATTTGTACATAGAAAAACACAATTACATTAACAAAAAAACCAAAATCAAACAACAAAACAGTCATCAAAAGAAGATAAAGCTTTATGTTTAAAACTTATTTAGGAAGAAGACAATCGTCATAGCTTAGGCAATTTACTGCTAGCACAGTATCTTTGGCAAAGCATCTTTATAGAAATGTTTCTTTGCTATAAAAAAAAATAAAAATAAATTGATGTGTATTTAGTAACTGTGAAGCAAACTGCAGGAAGACTGTAAGAGTTAGTACCAATAGGGTTACCTCTGAAAAAATGCTTACATTCTTTGCTAATAGCACAGCACACTTAACTCTCATTATAAAGCATTTATTAGCAGAATCTAGAAGTACGAGCAGCCAACAGGAAACACTGAAGCCTAGCAAGAAATCTGGCTTGCATCTGATCATAGAATATATTCCCTTTCCCATGTAAAGCATCTAATTGATTCCCATTAAAGCATCAAGATAAATAAAAAGAATGGTAACAGCTATTTAAAAATTAGGAATACAGCAAAGTACAGCTTATCCAAGTGGTATGTTTAAAAAAAAAAAAATCCAACCCAAAAAGGAGGAAGTATGCAGCAAGAAGAGGGAGAAGGTACTTACCAAGGCCCACTTTCAAATTTGTAGTTCACTCTTTCTGGATCTGAAAATCTGTGATCTACAAAATACAGCATAAGGTTTTTTCATTTTTTCCTCAGCATACAGGACAGGCAGGAAAACCAAACAACAACAGAGAAAACTCATTCATCACAATCACTTACTGTATGGTTCAGATATTAGTGTCAAAATAATATTCCCCATATCTTCAACTTGAGAGGCTCCATAGGAAAACGCTGGACTGTTCTTGTCAAGATTTAAATCTTTGTGCCAGAGTTAAGTCAGTCATAACCAAACAGATTTGTATTTGGCTTCCTGCTAGAGCAATAAGCTTTCATGCTATACTTGATGGCAAATCGCTTCTCTGCGGAAGGCTTAATCCCTTTTCCTGCTGGGATACGTTAGTTGCTATGCCACCTGCAGGAGTAGAAGGTCACTCCAGAAATTGTCTGGGGACATAAATATATATGTCCTTATTATGGGGTCTTATTATACTCATGAATTATGTGTGTTTGACAGATAGATATGCTTTTTGCATGCAGAAGAGACTAGAGTCCTGTCCTCTTTAATCAACATTATCTTTAATCTCTAGGGGAAGATTTGGGGAAGGAGAAGCAAACCATCAACTAGAAGCTCCAGAAACAGGATCACACACATGCCTTCTGACCAAGTAAATACCAAAGTAAAATAAATATCTTATCATTTTGACAAAATTCACAAGCAAGACCTCATCTAAATCTTGCCTATTGGAAGTCACAACTCGAGTTTAGTGCTGTCATGCAGAAGCATTGAGAAACTGGTGAGAGTGCACTATCACAGATAATCAGTAGACAAAACAGAGTGCCACAACCCATACTTTCTTTGATCTGAAGGATTTTGGAAGATGACAGCAAGGTTAAACTCTCCTGCCACTAGTGAGCAGGAAGCATTCTGTATGATAATAAGCATTCATGATAATGTAAAAAACAAAACAACACATACATTCATAAAAGGAGTCCGACTTGGTTGCCTTTTTTTTTTCCACACAACTTTAACCAGAGTTTACTATGGTACTTCTGCTTCTCGTCATATTTGCCTCCATCTCTAACATAAGGTTAGAGAACTATAAGATTGCTTGCAACTCTATCCCATCATTTTAAAAGCAAATTTTTGAAAAGGTTTTTTTCACTCACATCTTCTTGAAGGTGGGTAAGGTAAAAAAAACCAAAACAAAACACAAGCCAACAACCAACTAACCAAAAAAAGCCCCACCAAGAAACACATCTCCAAAAAAAACCCAGAATCTAAGAACAAAATAACTGAAATATAAACCAAACTGAGAATAGGATTTGCTTTTTTGTCTTCTCTTAGTACTTTGCATCAAGACTTCAGAGCAAAAGTGAAAGAGTTTCTTAAATGAGACCTAACCTGGCACGGCAGTACAGTAATGCAAGACATTCAAAACAGTCAAATGCACCAATTATTTGCCCACATCCCCAGATTCTCAAAACAGTCTGCATTTTGGTGCTCAAAAGTTGCCTCTCAAGCCAAGATAGCAAAGTTTCTCTCAAAGAAAATAGCTTTCTCCACCTAGAGCTGAGCACATTGAGTTGGCAGATGCCTACACGAAGGGCAGAAAACAGAAGAACAGCCTCTTTAGAAACAGACACTACCCATGAGCTTTCTCGTGCTGCCTCTCCCGTTAATGAAATGATACAAATTTCATTGTGAAATAAACTCTTCCCTATTATTTGTGGGATGACTGCAAGTCATTCCTACAAAACAGATATTTTCTTTAAATTGTTTTTGAAGTTTAACTGCTATATTGCGAGATGAAAAATAATTTCAGCTAAATTTATGAACTCCTCTTCCGCAGCAAGGAAAGGAGAGTTCCTGTGCCAACACAATATACTTTGAAGCTAATTTGATTTTGAGTCTTTGCTGGTTTTAAGCGTGCGTTCGTATATGGAAGGTGAGAAGATGGTGCTTAAACTTCAAATGTTCTTGTAAGACTAAAGGAACTATTATAGTTTAAAACCCAGAAAACTTAAACCAGTGAACCCTTCCCTCCAACTTCTTGATTAAATACAGTTTGCTAGCCATTGCCATTACCCTCCCTCCTGGTACTCTTTGGAGTAAAGTAGAGAGAATATTAGATGTTTTCTTAAAAAAACCCCCAAAATGTCAGGCTAAAAACCCTGAACAAGTCACATGCAACAACCCCAAAGCACTGCTTAACAGATCATCAGTACTCACGACAACAAGAAGATTCTTCATTGCAGTATTTCCTCCAGAACTGTATGCTCAAACACATCTACTCCCCCAAACCCAGGGGAAGAGGGTTTGAAAAGAAAAAATAACCCACAGACTGCTGCAGAAAGGGCACCTAATCAGCACCACACAGACGTTTCTAGGCACATTGTCTATCAGAGCAGAGGAGTGCTCCTTTTCCTAACGCCCCTTCCCCTGCAGCACCCAACAGCTTCTGGCTGCACTTGGGCAGAGTTTCTGCTGCCCAACCAGGGAACCAGAAGCTGCTGAAGATGCAGGTATTGGAACCCTGGTCTTGCCCAATTATCTTTTATGAAGATTTTGGAAATGTTATGTTTCCTCTCTGTCAAAGTTAAGAAAAATTAGACAGGAGTTTCAAATAGGTATTACAGCAGAGGACATGCCTGCACATGTGCACACACATGCACTTGGCTGCTAGACTGTGCTGTCAAAATTGAAGAGACTTTTCAATATTTCCTTTTTGCAGAGCCAAAAAGACCCCTACAAGCAATCAGCCACGGGAGAGGGGAATGCAGGAGTGTGAATGCACTGGGAATTTGAAGCACGGCTATCACACAAGGAAACCAAATAACTCCCCCATGTCACATTCATTTTCTTCAGAAAACACTCTCATTGAAAATACTAATCAACAGGAGATAATAGTTCCTAAAAATGCCCTAGTTCCAACAGAAGTTGTTACCAGGTGTTCAGACACAGGGAGTCAGCTGTGCCAAGGAACTCAATGTAAACACAGTGGGAGGGAAGGAAGAAAGTAAGCAACATTAGCAGGAGTCACACTCACACCTTCACCTCTGATTAGCTAGAAGCAAGGCTTTTAAGCAAGATTGGAGAAGAAAATGGAAAGTTTTCTGCACGTATAAAGAGCATGTTCATAATAACACTAACTAAGTGAAAACTTGAATTCTAATGACCAAGACTGACTGCATACAGGTGTACTCCTAATGAACAAAGGCACTAGAAATTATGAATATTTAGGAAAAAGCTGCTAATAGTGTAGTCTTTATAAAACTCACCCCTTATTTTGTGAAAGGATAGGAGACCACATGTGTTTGTGTACACTGATATTTAAAGATTGCCTCTCCTGGGAAACTGTAAAGAGTTGCTTGCAGTGGAGAAATCTAAGTTCACATTTAAAGAAGAGTTAGAAAACAGACCTGGCTAATGCTACTATATGCAACAGCACACACACATATATTCTAGATGAAGCAATGGACAAAGGGAACTGCCAAATAACAAGGCAGGATAGGGAGACAAGGAACTTCCTAATCTTGCCACACAGCTGCACTCAGCAAGTTAGTAAAGAGGGCAGGGCGACAGGAAGTCATATTCTACATAGGGTTGCCTACGTAATATGGAAGAAATTTCTAAATAATTTCCTGAGGTTCATCACCACAGTTTCACCCACTGCCAGTGCTCTCCAAGACTTCTTCCCTCCCCGTCTCTTCCATTTCTCACTCTCTCAACTCTCTTCTTACCTGTCAGAAAAAAATACTGAACAACTAGCTTAACCCTAAGATGACGTGACATTAGCTAGTATTGCAGTTGTGTTCTGTACTGATCCTCTTCTTCCTCTGCTCTGTTAAGCCTCTTCAGGCAGAGGAGAACATCTTTTTAAATACTACTTTGCATAAAGGTAATCTGATAGTACCCAGTTCCTGGGTACTATTATCACAGGAAATACAAATAGCAATAGGCAAGATTCTCAGGTAATATCCAATAACAGGCTTTTTATTGCCAGGGATAAATACTGTTGGTTATGACTTGAAAGCAATGATGTGGAGCACAGTTATCTGGGTCAAAACAAAAGATAAACAAAATCCCACCAAAACCAAGTTTCAGTATTACAGTAGCCTGATACTACCCAGCACATTAAGGAGGCTGTTCCAAAGTACACCTGCATTTCCACTGACAACATCCAACAGATATTCCTAGTAAGGAGTTATCCTCACAAACCCTGTTCAGTAGTGAGCAGAGCAAACCATGCACTGGAGGAAGCAAGAGCTATTAGCCATTTAATGGCTTCTGCACACCCAATCTTGAGGCAAAGGATGAGTCTTCTGCAGACTGAATATGAATAGTCATGCAAGCTTTGTTCACTCCACCCTGAAGGCACTCACAGCAGTAAAAACTGGCTCAGCAAGCTTTGCAAATCAAGAAGTGCAGCAAGTATGGGAGGTACAGAGGGTGCAAGATCAACCCTGCTCCTTTTGTATACTTACACATGTTTAAAAAAAAATAAAAATATTTCAACAGACTCGAGTTCTTTTTGCTGCTGGAACATGATCACTTCTTTCAAGTTCTTTTTGTTACTTAGAATTTCTCATAATTGTACTGTTGTTGCTACTCTTACACAATACTGACGAAATGAAATTTGTCAGAAGGCCACCTCCTACACCAAAAAAATGTTTTGAGACTGTCAACAATAGCACTCTGACAACAAGTAGTCTTACTTTTTCCTCAGTCTCTCGAAGTTCATGTCATTTTAAACATTTCCTTACCTTGAATTCAAGAAAACAGTGTCTGTACATGAAACCTACAATTTCTTGCAGGGGCGGGGGGAGAAATGTAAAGTTTTCACCTGAACTCTTGAATTTGGAATGGTTTCATTTCTGTACATAATTAAGTAGTTTGCTGAAAGAGTAATTCCTAATTCTAAAGGAAGAATAACAGAGCCATTTACTGTTTAATATCTCCATGCTCTTTTTCAAGATTGTGCTTGCCTCATCTGCAAGAAATACGTACACAAGCTCCAACTCTCCAGCATGTTATACTTTGGAATATGTATTCTGAATGACTGTGCAAGAGGAAGTTCTCTCCCATGACTGTTGGAAGAAATGGAATACATTCCCCGTTTGCCTGTAATTTGTTATTAATCAGATGTTAGCCACAGAAACAAAAGCTTTTGGAAAATGCCTAATTTAAGTGACTGCACAATAATACTCAGCTTTTCCGCAACTCTTTCATAGCACAAGAGTTTTGTTTCGCTGATCACAATCATTTTACACACAGGTAAATGGAGTTGTATGTACATGTGCCCAAAATTCATTCTACTCCTGCTCTTACTGGCTTGTAAATGCACATCTTCTGCATCTCTAGTCAGTACCCTAACCCTTAACCAAAACATTCTATTCCCATAAAATGCTAGTTAACCTGGCCCAGTATAGCTTGTGAGAGGCGTCCCTGCCCATGACAGGGAGGTTGGATTAAATGATCTCTAAGGTCCCTTCCAGTCTAGGCCATTCTATGATTCTACCTTTTTGGTCTCTACATCATCTGCCCCACCACTCTCAAGCAATATAGGGCAGAGACAGTGAATTTCCTCCACGTTGCAAAACCACAAGTTTATAAATAAGAGCATCAGCAGTTAGAATACAAGACAAGCCAAAAAGATTAATACGAAACTAGGATGAAGTTACTTGTGTTTATATACCTTAAGAAGAACATCAGATCCAGAATTCACACTCAAGATGAGATAGACTGACCGAGCCTCTAGGAACTTGGAGGAAATGCTGTTGGCAAACATCAAAACCACCCTCAGATGGCACTGACTCTTTAGGGGCTTCCTGACAGTTGAGTAACACAAGGTCATCTGCTCCCCTCTCCCAGCAGGCAGGAGTACAGACTGTCACTGTTCCTTAGCTGACCAGTGACACTCCAGGTGGCTACAGTCATACGATTATTTCCACAGTCACAAGACGCACACTAGCCATTCACACAAGGAAAAAGTAGAGGCATCATTCCAAAACAGCCAAAGCAGCTCACTGTCTTAAAATTTCTCCAGCTCATGGCAAAGTATCCCTAAACAATGAATTAAGTTTTTGACCATAACTTAAAGAAACCTCCATCACCCAGCTCCTACTATGCCAACACAAGCATTTATTTTGCTTTTTATGTACAAAAATTCATACTCCTACACCGTGTGCTGCTCTGCTTCAGACTAGTGGGAGAAGATATTTTTGCTCCTTCACTTGGGAAGATCATTCTTAATTTGCAGACAGCAAAGCAGAGCAGACAGCCTCCAGTATTCAACCTCATGGTTAAACATGTAAACATTTTATGTCCCCAACACATGTACAAAGCTCATACAATGCTAGTCCTGAAGTGAAAGGCCAAAATAATTGGGAAGCCACAGACTTTTAACTCTGAAAAACACAAGCTCTTAATGGCAACTATTGTATGGACAAAAAAAAGCTCAAATTCCTTTATTCCTACTTGCTTGCTAGCTTTTTGGTCACTGTTTCAATAGGTCAGTAGGCAAGTTCTCCATGCCTGAGACTATACTTGAGATGAGGGCTGGAGCCTGCAGCAAGAGGAGAGACTGCCGGGGAAGCCAAATCAAGCACACAGCTCTGGAAATTTTATGTGATATGCAAACAGAGTTAAGACTAGTAAAAAGCAAGACTAGGTTACAGGCCACTTAAAATTATTCAGGAAGTAATTTTAGACATTCCTATCACTGGAAATGGAAACGTGGTTTACTGACTGCATCTTACTGCCAGCCCAGCTTCACCTTGTGAGGTATAACATGTACAACTCCCATGAAACTGAGTACCACACGCATCAACAGCATCTCTGCCTTCAGTTTACTTCTGAATCAAAGCCTCACTACAAGTTCTCACCAACAATAACTGTTTCTCTTCCTAAAAATTAAAATGGTCTCCAAACATTCACTCTTACCTGAAAACAAAATAAACATCTAACTGATGCAATGAGCAAATTCACAACTTTATTACTAGGATTCCTATCAACAATTTGAATACATGTGCCAGTTACACTAAACTGTGAAGCATAAAGAGACAAAACTATATAGGTAGTAAAGAAAAATGTACAGAAATCAAGACATACAGGATTTTCCCCATGAGAGCATGCATCCTCATATGTTATCTTTGTGAGAAAGCTCAGTATAGCTCCAAGTCACTTAAAGTTATACCACCCCTAAACATGTGTTGCAAGCATTACTCACCCATCTCTGTCCTACAACTCAGCCAAAGCCGTAATAGCAGAAGGCACCACCACTGTTAAAAGGATACATTCTGTCATGGCCGCAACACTGAGTTTGCTAACGTCGGGTGAGCCAGGGCAACACTTCTTGAACTCTTTCCGCAAGTCAAAAAAGGAGTAGAAGCATTCAGGCAGCAAGATATTCTGTAAAAGGACAGAGCAACCACTGTCAGATAGGGTGAGCTTAATCTACATTACCTTTAGATACCAAACATTCTCACAATTTCCTTACAATGAGCATGAAACACAGCCATTGCCACAGAAAAACAAAGCTCTTCTTTGCCACATAAGTATGTTTATTAACTTTTTTGCTTAACCAGCTTCCTTTCTATATGGTTTAAAAAGAGAAATGTGCTTTGTCAGTGCCAGAGAAACATTCGATATTATTACTAGTGCCTCAGATCCAATATAAATGTAGGACAGCAAATGCCTTCTATTGCAACACTTATCATCAATCCTTGAGTCCAATTTTAAGTGCAGAGGGCACTCAGTTCAGTTTATAGAGCCAAGCAAAATTTGTTAAACTGGCAGAAAACGTTTTAGTTTATAGACACGGCTGAGTTTTCAGAGAATAGTCACACTTCAGATATTTAGTACCCCCAGACAAAAAAAAAAGAGAGAGGGAGAGAAAACAACAAAACCACTGTTGTGTGCAGGTGAGGGTAAGTATTTGATATGGTGCACAGGTTGTCAGTCTACACATGGTAACTGTTTTAATTGCACCATATGTAACCAGGAGCAAGTTAGGTGGCCCACTGGAAGCCAGAAGAACCCTTTTTTCCTCACCACTACACCTACCACATGCTTTTAATTTTTTTAGGGGTGGGAAGGAAAAGACTTGGAGTTTTTTTTAAACTAACACAAACCCCTATTCCTTCAATTAGCTCTTCACCCCAGACACAATACTTTATATTCCACTTAGCCATTTGTTGCCTGCAATGCAACAAGACCAAGAGTAAGGGCTCTGTGGTTTAATGCCTAGTTAGCATCTTGGCATTATAACAGAATGACAGGATACATGAAAGCACATTCAGGAAGCCCAAAGAAAGAAGTTTAGGCTCTAAAACAAGTTCGACTTTGAGAACATTAGAGCTTATCTTAGCATATGGACAGGTGCATTAGGCAAATAATACTCTTTAAAGACAAAGTTATGAAAATGCAGGCATGCTTGCCAAGATTTCCTGGTCTAGTTTTAGTATGGCTATTTTTCTTCCTTGACAAGAGATCAAGTTCTGTATTTCACTGATATTAAGTTGGGATGGCTGATGCCAATTCATTCTCCAAATACCATGAGCTGCTAGATTGGTTCAGACTGGGCATCTTAAAAGAAGGAAATATATTCTCAAGAGCCTAGTGATTTCTGCCTATCTGGATTTTAGCAATCCCCAACCTCAGGATTAGGATATGCAGCAAAGAACTATTATAGATATCATAAGCATCTGGTTTATTTAATGCACAGGCAGCACAGAGCAGACTTCAAATTCTTAACAGGAACAGAAGATTTTGATGAAGCTTTGATTCCTATCACTGACTCTGTGATGATATAGAAAAAGTACACCTATCCTCAGCACCAAACAAACTTAAATAATAATAGCAGTCGTCCCTTTTATCCATGTAATTTAACTGCATGGAAGGACTAACTGTATAAACCACACACCCATTACAAGTGAGAAGAAAGTCTGTTAAAAACCTCTTTCCACATTTTCTCACATTACACACTAAGACAAGTTACAGGACTGTCCCTTCACTATAAATCATGCTCGTTGTTTCTGTTCTAAACTTTCCAAGGCATGAATACTTCCAGCACCACTGAGTATTAAAACTCATCCAGTATCAGTTTTGTCACAGCACAGACTTGCAGCAGTATCCCTTCAAAGATGAAGCAGCAAATTGACGGGCACAAAGATCACTTACAAGGAGAGGAAAAGAACAGCTCAGCTGGAGAAACGCACATTCATAGCAAACCACAAAACGAGGTGTTATTAATATTGAAGCAGTTATTCCAGGATTAGAGACTTAGCATATTGCTGCAACCCTATCGCTAATGAAAAGTAGGCAGGACCTCATAATACTGTTAGCAGTTTGGCAACTCTGAGGTTATAGAAAACTCTAGACTATGGGACTAGTCATCACTCATAGCCTGCCTCAAACTACTGTTCAGGTCCTTACAAATAGGAACACTGCTCTCAGAGCATCAACTGAATACACGAAGACTGAAAGCTGCTGAAGCTAAAGGTGAATGCAAAATTTCAAAAGACAGTTTATGATTAAGGTAGTTAATTATTTGGCAACACTTCCCAGTTCCCACTTGTTAACCCATTGTAGCTACAGTTGCAGGAGCTACAAGTAAGCTGTTAATGCATTGCTCCTTTATCAAACACTTCAGAATATATTTTTTCTGATTTAATTTAAAAAGGCATCTCAGGGCTACACAGGCACAGAGCATCACCTATACCTTCCTCACAGACCAGCTCTTCAGTCTGATAAGCACATCAACTTAGGAGTAACGTTTGTACTATGGCTGTGTGGAAGCACCCTTGTGCTAAAGACAAGTTAATCCATTTTGCAATCAATCATATAAAGCACACTAAGAGTTAAACTTAAGCTGTAACTACATACCTTTTTGGAAGCTTCAGGGTGCAGAACCTGCCTTATGTGCAACTGTCCATCAGTACAGAAACAGAAAGAAGTACCTACACCAATGTTCAGCTCATTGCTCACGGACTGATTAAACTAAAAGCAGGAACAACAAAAGACATACATGTAAAAGAAGTCAGAGTGGCTGCACTAGGCAGTGTCATCAGCTCGTAACATGTTATTCTTGAGCAGCAGGTACATGGAGCTAGAATTATTTTTTTCATATGAGCCTGGTCTTTCACCTCCGTAGATTTGTTTCTTACTAGCTAAGCCCATGATAACTTTCACAACAATTATATTCACAGGGAAAATGCCCCTTTTCCCCTCTTCTAATGAGATGTGGTCACACAGACAGTCCACATCACAGGAAAAAAAAATAAAATTTCCAGGAGCATTTGCAAGAGCAAATAAGTAGACATAAAGGTGGTTGCAGAGAGCTGAGGGAGTGCCAGGGCAGAAGAGCCTTTCAGATAGGGCACTCAAGCATATTGGAAAGGAGACAGGCCCTACCCTCCATGAGAATCACACACACCTGTCTGTTTATCTAGAAGCTTCAGTGCTGTCTCCCTTCCAGAACTGAGGAGCTACCACCCAGCCTGTTTGGGGGGCATCAAAACTTGGCTTTATGCAACTGATTGGGGCTCATTCTCAGCTAAGGCTTAGGGTCCAGCATGGCAGGAGATCAGGGTAGGGGTATGCCTGACCCTAACCTTCCTCTCTTGGGTTCAGTCCCTCCCAAGGTGAACAAGCAAAAGGCAAGGGAGAAATCCCCACAAACTCCACCACAAAAGAGGCTGCTCAGCCCATACATCTGTGGTGCCCTCATGCCAGGCTCCACTGCCCCAGTGGTCGTAGTGGAGGGGGAAAAAAATGCACAATAACATTGCCTCTATCTCACTGAGGATCCCGCAAGGGGGAGACCAGTTCCCAGCAGCCAGTTATGGGGTGTCACCTGTCTCAATGCCTGCTCCAGCGGTGGAGCCAATGCTAGGCTCTCCACATCCACCTGGGTGATCTCCTGGCATTCAGCCGTCAGCTCCGGGTGGTCAGGCCGGACCAGCACGTCGTGCAGGTGCCCCAGCTCCAGAGAAAGCAGAGGAGGGGCGAGTCAGCTCCCCAGGCTGGAGGTCCTCACCTGCAACACCGGCCCCTGCCCTCCACCAGAGCCTGCTCCAGCCTGGGGCACTCACAGCCAGCCGAGCACTTGGGGCTGCCCTGCCCGTACCCCGCACGGCAAGGGCTAAGGCAAGCAGCAGTTCGGGGTGCTCCCCCCTCGGGGGAAAAATACCTCCTTACTCCTCAGGTCGACTACTTTCCACAGGAGCTGGAGGAGCTCTCGTTCATCCGAGCCCAGCCTTGCCCCGTTGCTGCCCGCCGTAGTCACGAAGAGGATCACCAGGTAGTCAGGAGACGCCGTCATGGTGCCACCGGGCCAGTGGAAAGAATTAAAAAAGGGAGAGGGGGGAAAAAAAAAAGAGAGAAAAAAGGGGGAAGAGAAAGGCGGGGAAGAGGCCGGA